TCTGGCCTGGTGTCGATTTAACCTCTGGGCCATCCGGAAGTAGCCCAGGTTACGGTGGTCGGTGTAGATCTCGACTTTCTCCTCAGCACCTTCCACAAAGTGTCGCCATTCCTTGAGGGCTTGGACGATTGCAAGCATCTCTTTATCGTACACTTCGTAGTTGCGCTCTACATCCGTGAAACTTTTGGACATGAATGCTACCGGGTGGAACTCTCCATCCGGTTGGAGTTGGGAGAGGACCGCGCCGGTTGCAAAGTTGGATGCATCGCACTCGAGCCTGAAGCGGCCATGGTCGGTAGGGAAAGAGAGGACGGGGGCTGTGGTGACGGCTTCCTTGAGGGCACGGAAGGCATCGTCTTCATCCGGGCCCCAGTTCCAGGTTTGGGTCTTCTGGGTCAGCCTGTGAAGGGGGCGGGCTTTCTCAGAGAAGTCTCTGATGAACCGGCGATAGAAGTTTACGAATCCTAGGAAGGATTGTACTTCTTTCACCTTGGTTGGGGGGGCCAGTCGAGGACACCCTGGATCTTCACCGGGTCCATCGCGACATTACCCTCCGAGATAACGAGGCCCAGGTACTCGATCCGGGTTCGCTCAAACTTACACTTCTCTGGTTTAAGGAAGAGCCTCCTTCTCCTTAGCGTCTCTAGGACTTCTCGGACGACCCTTCGATGTTCCTCCAGGGTGGCCATGAAGATCAGGATGTCGTCCATGTAACAGATGACAACCTCCCGGTCGATGAAATCCCTCAGGATGTCATTCATCATGGTCTGGAAGGTTGCCGGGGAGTTACACAGGCCGAAGAACATCACCATGGGCTCGAACAGCCCCCAGTTGGTCACGAATGCCGCCTTCCACTCGTCTCTGTCCTTGATCCGGATGTTGTTAAACCCCCAGCGTAGGTCCAAGGCTGAGAAGTATTTGGCGTTGCAGAGGCGGGCGAGGACGTCTGAGATGAAGGGGAGCGGGTACGAGTTCTTCACCATGATCTCGTTCAGCTTCCTGTAGTCCTGGACCAGGCGTAGGGACCCGTCCTTCTTCTTGACGAAGAAGACTGGTGCTCCCATGGGGGATTTGGACGGCCATATGCGCCCGTTCTGTAGGTTCTCGCGTAGGAACTCGTCCAGCTCTTTCTGTTCCAGGCACGAGAGTGGGAAGGTCTTCCCCCTGGGCAGTTTGGCATCTGGTACCAGGTCTATAGCGTGGTCCCAGGGCTTCCAGGGGGGCAGTTGGTCAAAGGCTTCTTTGGAGAACACATCCCGGAAGTCCTGGTAGTGCTCTGGTACTAGCGTCTCAAACGACGCAGGCTCAGCCTCCGGGTCGCGGGCCTCTTGGGCCATCCGCTGCGAGGGGGTCGTGGTGGCTCTCAGGTCATGGCCCCAGCTTGGGGGAATGATGGCAGCGTAGATCCCATCCCCAGGCTCCAGTACCGGGTCCTGATCATCTTGTATTTGCGGTTGTCTGCAGGAGGACGGGCAGCGGGACATGATGACTCTCTGTCGTACCCAGTCCACTTCTGGGTTGTGGTGCAGCAACCACGAGTGTCCTATGATGAGGGACTGGCGCCTGAGATTTGCAACTGCGAAGCGTGCCCGCTCTGTGTGTCGCCCGAAGGTCAGGAGGGCTTCTAGCTCTTCTGTTATAGCTCCATTTTCGTTCGGGGTTCCATCGACATTACGGACGGGAATGGGCTGGGGAAGGGGGGTTGTCTCTAGGTTGTGCTTTCGGACGAACTCGGGGCTTACAAAGTTCCCAGTGGCTCCTGAGTCCAGGAGGGCTGATACAGATACCGACGTGAGGGAGGTTAGGGCGGTCAGTTTCACTGTGAGGTTAAGGGATCTGGGGGACTGCTTGGAAAGGACGTAAATGGCTGGGGGGGAGACTGCTACCTCGGGCGTTGCTGCCCTTGAGGTCTTCTCGTTCTCACGGGTGGAGGATGCGTTTCTCCTCTTTTTCTTTGCGATGACTCGGTGCAACTTTGGCATTGGCGTTGGCTTACGCATGCTGCGGTATTTACACGAGCTATCTTCTACGGGCGGCCGGGACGCATCCCTTACCGGTCACCTGCCTGAAAATCCCTCTGAGGTTCTTCCTCTGGTTCCCCTCCACCGTCTCTGTCCCTTCAGTCAACTGCCTCTTCAGCCCTTCCATCAGCGTTCTCAGGTCTTCCAGGTGGAGATGTCGTACTCGGCTGACCCTGGGGTGTGGGCATTCTCGTGCAAGATGACCCGGGGTGTTACAATTGTAGCACCGTCTCTGGTCAGTCCTCGACCTGTCGAGATCCATCGGCTGGGGGCCCGTCCCTGGTGTAGGACGGGCTGCTGGGGTGGGGGGCGGAGGTGCGGGAGCAGGTCGTGGGGGGGTCTGTGCGGGTCGGGTCTGGGATGGGGTTGCGGTCAGCGGAGGTCGAGCTGGCGGGAATGGGGGTCTAGGTGGGGGTGCGCGTGGTTGGGTGGCTTGGAAACGTTGCCACTGGTTGTCCAGAAGCGTGGCTTCGCGCTTCCACTCAGTCCAAGTGGTGGGCATGGGGCGGAGGCGGTATATACTCTCCCTGAGCCGCGAGTTAATCGCTTGCTCAAACCGGTCGACCAGCCCGACATCGCCTAGCCTCGAGGCGGGTCCCAATATCTCGAACTCCTGGATGACCTTATCCACGGAGTCAGTCCCTTGGCGGATGACTGCCAACTTCTTCCGAGCTGTGGCCTCCCGGTTTGGGTCTTGAAACATGGCATCGAGTTCCGTGTTGAACTCGTCCATGGTTATGGTGGGGGAGCTGGCTGTCAACAGGGTGATCGTCCGTTGTGTCGCCCACGCCCCTGCGGGTCCTCCCTTCATGTAGGAGAGGACGAAGAGGATCTGGGACAGTTCGGTAGGGAACTCGGCTGCGCGGACATGGAAGTAGATCCCACACTCGGCTTTGAAACGATCGAGGTCTTCACTGGCTCCCGAGAAGGGAGTGGGGGCAGCGACCTTCGGTGGTTTGGGTCTGGGCACAAGTGTGGGTATGGGCGCGGGTGCAGGGGCGGGTGCGGGTGCAGGTGCGGGTGGGGGTGGTTGCGGGTTTGGCTCTCCACAATGGCTTGGAGCTCCTGGAAGCGGGCCAGCAGGTCGTCATACTGTTCTTCTGACACCATGGCTGGGGAGATGGGGGAGGCGGGGGAGATAAGGTTAAAACCTTCTTCTGCTGTCAGGGACGTGTCCGGGGTCGAGAGGGCCTGGGGGTAATGTCCGGCACTGAGGCCGTCACGGGGTGTGGAGCGGGCGTGCGTACTGGCGGGCCCGATCCGGGACAGTGGTCCCTGGCCACTCAGACTGAAGTGGAGAATGTGTTATTATTATTAAAGGGGAAGACTATACTACTTACCTCAAGTGGAGAATGTGAGAAGAAGGTTACTTCTTCGGTTCCCACTTCAGGTACATTTATGTACATGCGGCTTGAGTCACATGACGGGTGCCACGTCATCCTCGGAGGCAGCCGCAGGCATCCGGGTGTCCCCGTGGGGGATCCCGAGAGCGTCCGCTGCATGCGCGCGTGCTGGGCACAGCGGGAAGCCATCCGGGGTGTGTGGGCCGGACGGGTCAATAGTACATCGATACAAAGGAAGGTGGTCTGTGTAGATAGAAAGAAATAAACAGGAAGAGGAAGATGAGAAGAATGAAATAAAGAGAGGGGAAAGAAGAGGGAGGAAGGAGGGGGAGGGGGATAGACAGCGGGGAGCGGGTGTGGTGTGGCCGGGTGGGTCTGGGTGGACCCGGGTCAGGTGGGTGTGCCCTGACAACTGCTAAGTCTATTAACCTGATGTAAACAACAGTAAATACATGATTCAAGCTCAACTTTCAACATAGATGCAACAGGCTGAGGATGCTGGAGGTGAGGGGACAAGGCCCAAGGCTAGGGCCTTTGGCCTCAGTGACTCTAAAGGAGTGCTGTGCCCCCTATGTTATGGATATAGAGTCTCCAATGACCATATCCATCACATTGTCAAAGACCTCCCCTTTCTATCACTCACTCACACACACTCTCTCTTTCCTGATACCCTACTATCCTCTCCCATCCTATTCCATTCCCCCCCCCTCATGAAAAGCTTTCCCCATCGGGGTTTTGGTGCTGGCCAGGGTTGTTTGCATTTTGCGGGATTTCCTGCGACCATTCCATTTGTAGACAGTCACATGTCATGTATGGAAACTGCTGGAGGTGGTTCCTGCTAACTACCACGACTTGCTACAAACTACCTTGTGTGTTGTCTCTTGTAACAACCCCTTCTGTGACTCAGCTGAACACATGTGTGTGTGTGTGTACAACCTTCAATATGTTCTATATGCCTGGTTATGTCAAGTCATCTGGTGGTTCCCACTGCAAGGACTTGAAGTCACAAGTTGAAGCCTCATGACTTGTGTATCATTCACTGGAACCCATGTCCCACAGGACGTCATCGCCTAGCTCTCCCTCCAGTGTTTGATGGACAATGTCATATTATGGTATTTGGGATCGCAACTGCTCTGAGACTCATATTCCTGTGATGCTGGCACACTCATTGCACGAGCACCAAGTAGCCACCCATCAACCATCTGGTCCCTCCCTTGTCAGTCATTGTACCTCACCACCAATGGTACGTTCCCTTTGGGAACACCAAGTCACTGAAGGCCCCACTAGCTGTTCCTTACTGGGCTCTCATGATTATAACCTGCCACCAGTATGTTCATACTACGAATGCCAAGTAACCGATAGCAACGATACAGGGATCAATGGTGATTTGATCATCTACTCTCATACACGACTGGGACCTCCCATCGATTACACATCCTGTTAAGGTACAAACAAGATCTTGTGATTGTCTTCCAGCTACAAGAATGGTTCGAGAAGGGAGAAGTTCTCCCCATCCTTGTAACACCCTAGTTGTCCCTTGGCCCTCATTTCACATTAGTTTGGGTTGCCTTGTCAGGGGACAGACTGGAGGTCAAGATCTAGTTGATATTAGAATTAATCTACATAGCCTACATCTTCAAAAATGCTTCATCAGAATGAATATGTCACCATCAATGAGGTCATTGACAAAAAATGTGCTTGCTGCAGTGCCAGAGTCAGAGAATGTGGGAACCATTAATACTCCATGGATGACAGATTCCAATGAAATGATGGCAGAGGAACCTTCTTCACTGAGTTTGAATTGCCTGAAACCTGCAGCTCTATCTGAAGGTGGGCAGGAACTTGGGGGGACAGGGATGTAGTAGCGAATGAGGGCAAGTTGGACCTTACCAATGTTACTTGAAGGTGTGATGGAAAACATCAGGACCAGCCAAGCAAAAGATGGCCCACCAACTGTGTCCACCATTATGGAATCATAACGGGCTTGCCCATGGAAATGTGGATGGGTCTGGAGTAGGTCACGATTGGTATACCAGTGAACTTGTGACTCATACACTGTTTCAAGGAAATGGAGTGTCTTCTGCTGGAAATTGTCATGACCCGACATATCCATCACTTCCGTCAATGCATCCTAGTGCCACTTGGTCTGTCCCGCCCACTATCATCATCATCCGTCCACCCATCTGTCCACCTGTCACCCTCATCCACACTTCCTCCCCCACACGCGTACCTTCCAACCTAGGTTGCCCGCTTCATTGTTGTCCGCTCACCAGCTGGACGGCTTGCTAGACGGCCGGATGGCCTTTTCTCTTTTGTCTGCTTGCAGACTATTTTTCCTCCTTTGTCACTAATTGTTCTTGCTTACCTTTTGTTGACCAAGTTTTCCGATATTAACTATTTGTCTCTTTCTTCATTCATTAATATCGCGCTTGATCCACCACTCCTTCTGGGCCGGTCCTATTTAGTTACTTGTGTTTATAACGCGTGTAGGTTACACCAGATGTACCTCAGTTCGTATATCGACTTGGATTCCCCCTCTAGTCTCTTCTCCTCATCGTAAGGCTCCTGTCTGAAATTGGGACAACAACATAAGAACGAAGTGCAGCACTCCACCCAAGTCGCTGAAGCTAAAGTCCCACCCCTCCGACCTTACGAGCCCGGATGACTTCATGCACCTTGCGGGTCACCCAGATACGCATCTGACACGTTCTTGACAGTATATACGAACTCAAATCGCTCTTACGTTCTTTCCTTGCTCTATCATTGTTTCACTGAAATATGTCTAGAGCTTATCAGACCTGTTCACAGACTTGCACTGAACCTGGTTCTTCTAGGCTTCCAAGTCTCGGTACACTTGAAGAACTGTTGCGCAGACATGACCTAGACCCTTCTGAACGTCCGCCATTCCAAAGCTTTACGGCCAACCATGACGACCCTACCTCCTCCTCCACTCCAGCACCCTCCCGTCGATTTCGTCATTCCATATTCCAAGACCATGACGAGGTGGCTGCTGTCGAGAGAGATGTCGATCCGGACAGCCAAGCTGATGACTATGACCCTGAAGCTTCTCGTAACCCTACCCCACGTCCTGATCCCGCTAATCCTCTGGACCTGCCAGACGCCCCACCCAACCGTGGTAATGGTGGTGGTGGTGATGGCAGTGGTGACAATCCGCCTGAGGATCAGCTGCCAGATGACCCCAGTAGCCGTGTGTTGGCCCAGTTGACGGACGCTATTGCTGCCCTGGCCCGCTCAACCACTGCCGCTTGTCAACCCCCAGACCCCAGCCGTAGGACGAAGCTTCATGAGCCTGACCAATTTGACGGTACTGACCCTCAGAAACTCTGTACCTTCCTTGTTCAGTGTGAACTCAACTTCCAGAACCGCCCCCAAGCGTTTGTCAATGAGCGTACCAAAGTCATCTATGCCACGTCATTCCTCAAGGGGATTGCTCTGAGTTGGTTCGAGCCTGAACTTCTTCGTGGTAACCCACATCGCCATCCATGTTGGATGGATGACTATGAACTCTTAGTCCGAGAACTCGAAGAGAACTTCGGCCCGCACGACCCATTTGGTGATGCTGAACGTCATCTGAGTACTCTGACTATGTCGGATAATCACAGGATTACCAAGTACGTCGTCGAGTTTAATTGCAATGCTTCACAGTTACCCGGATACGGTGAGGTTGCCTTGAGGCACCATTTCTACAATGGGTTGCCGGATAGGATCAAGGATGAGATCACCCGTTATGGTAAGCCATGCTCGTTGCATGACATGCGCTCTCTTGCCCAAGATATTGATGGACGATACTGGGAGCGCAAGGGCAAGTTGTCGGACTGTTCGAGAGATCGAGCTACCTCACCCAATTCCTCCAAGCAGAACGCGAAATCGGGCAAGAACTCGAAGTACTCGCCCTCCAACCCTCCTGACTCCACGTCTGACCCCTCCACCTCTGCTGATCGCTCTACCAAGGACCCTAAAAAGTCTAAGGGAAAGCAACCCGACTCTGATCTGTCCTCGAAGCTTGACAAGAGTGGCAAGCTCACCAAAGAAGAATGCCAGCGTCGCTTCGAGAACAACCTCTGCCTCTTCTGTGGGCGCTCTGGGCATGCGGCCAAAGAGTGTCCTAAGTCCTCCTCTCATGCAGCCAAAGCTAGAGCAGCCCAGGCTGAGGATATCGCAGATTCTGTGGTGGATTCGGACGAGGACAAAAACTAGATAGTGACCCTCCGGGCCCCGTACGACTGGTTGGTCACGCTGACCCTCCTCGTACATCTAGAGTCCTGCACTTGAACGCATCTGGACTATCCGCTCTTCATTCTCTTTCTGTTCCGATCTCTCTTTCTCCTTGTTCTGATGATGGTCGATTTCCAACTTCAAGGGAGTGTGCTCCCAGCTCTGATCTGCATTCTGCTTCAAGGGAGAATGCTCCCAGCTCCGCTCTGTCTTCTTCTTCTGGGGGGTCTGAACCCTGTAAAAATATGTCTTTTCCTTCTTCACTTCCGTCTGGAAACTTTTCCGCTCTTATCGACTCAGGATCTTGTGACACATTTGTAGATACATCCTTTGTCAATATCACCCAAGCCGTCAATCTGCCCATCCAATTCGCCACTGGTGAGGTTACTCCAACGACATGCTATGTCACATCATTGGATGGCTCTTGCGCTATCGTCCTAGGACATGACTGGCTCACCCAACACAATCCGTTGATTGACTGGGTCTCGAGCAGTATAACTTTCCGGACATCTGAGCAATCCAGTCTAACCACCCTGAGCTCTCCTCCCGTAGTTGTGGACCCAGTCCCAACGCAAGGGAATCCGACCTCCGACCCACAGTGTGCATCCGTCCGTCAGGCAATCAGCATCGAGATCGTCAGTCCAGCTGTGTTCGCCCGGACCGCCTGACTCGATGGATCCATCACTTTCTGCCTGGAAAATCTGTCCACTATAGCAGAGTTGCGCTCGACTTCTATTCCATCTGATCCTGTTGACCTCTCAACTGTTCCTAAGGCGTATCACGAGTTTGTGGATGTCTTCAGTAAGAGTAAAGCCAATACTCTCACGCTGCACCGTGAATATGACCTGAAGATCGAGTTGGAGGAAGGCTCCCATCCTCCCCTTGGCACCCTGTATTCCCTGTCCCAGTCTGAGCTTGAGGCTCTCTGTACATTCCTTGACGAGCACTTGGCATCCGGTTTCATCCATCCTTCGTCTTCAACCCACACTGTGCCAGTGCTCTTCGTCCGCAAGAAAGACAGTTCCCTACATCTTTGTGTGGACTTCAGGGGCCTCAATAAGATCACAAAGAAAGATAGGTATCCATTGCCACGTATCTCTGATCTCCTAGACATTCCTAGCCGTGCGAAGATCTACACCAAGCTCGACCTCCGCCATGTGTACCATTTGGTGCGGATAGCAGCGGGCAATGAATGGAAGACTTCGTTCTGCATGCGCTACAGATCCTACGAGTGGCTCGTCATGCCATTCGGTCTGACCAACGCACCCACAGCCTTTCAGCGCTTCGTCAATACCCTCTTTGCTGATCTACTCGACACTCGCATGGTAGTCTACTTGGATGACATCCTGGTCTATTCGGAAGATGAGACTCAGCATGAGGATCACGTCCAGGAAGTCCTGAGTAGGCTATGCAAGCACGGGTTATTTGCCAATCCGCAGAAGTGCAAATTCTCAACTGACACTACGGAGTATTTGGGCTACATCCTTTCGCCAACTGGACTCTCCATGTCACCCGAAAAGATTCAGTCCATCCAGGATTGGCCTGAGCCCCGTAAAGTCAAGGACATCCAGTCCTTCTTGGGATTTGCTAACTTCTATCGCCGTTTCATCCATGATTATTCCAGTATAGTTCTTCCGCTGACCAGACTCACCCGTAAAAATGTGGCTTGGTCTTTCTCTGATTAATGTCGTTCCGCCTTCCTTCGTCTCAAAGAAGCCTTCACATCCGCCCCCATCCTTACTCACTGGGTACCCGATCATCCGCTAATAGTTGAAACCGACACATTGCAAGCGGGAATCTGCTACAGGTCTCCAGAAAACGGAAGGTAGCACTCCAACTCACTCCCCAAAAACTAGGGAAGAAAGAGAAAAGGGGGCTAAAAGGGGTGTTGCAGTATGAACAGGTCCATATAATCAACAGGAGGGGGGGGGGGGAATTTCGGGGAAATATATAACTCTGGTAACTCTTGCTTATCTTCTTTCCATGGTGGATTTTCCTAAAGGTCACGATAGCCCTTTACCAATCGTGTGGCCACTCACAGCACCCAAGTACATGGACTTCAAAAGTAGTGGGAGGGGGAAAATCTCTAGTCCGTTTCAATCGCTATGTACATATACCCATACAGCAAACATACAATCTGTGAAAAGAGTCCGAAATATATGGGTTTGGCTGAGCTAAGCCTCCACCAACAACGGCGGTAACGTTCGGCTGCCGTTGGCCTTGAATAATATTCCAAACAACAAAGGAAATTGAAAAGAAAAACACAAACTTCCTCATACCACTCCAAACACTGCATCAAACCTCCGTCTCTTTATCCCACTCGACTCTCCTCATCCATAGCTTTCTATCGATACCGATTTTGTGAAGTCTGGTGGAGATTTGACTGAGAACAGGAATTCTCAGAAACGGAATATATATCTTGATTATCTGTGCACAGGGAAACTTGGGCCAAATAATATGCCACAATTCCAAGACTCCTCTAATGTCTTCTTTAGCATTTTTATCATTTAACTAGCCCATATTCTCCTGGAATTTCACTGAGACTAGCTCGCACGTGAGCTTCCTCATAGTTCATATTGTCCCATGACTCCCATCATGCCTGATAATCAGAATATCTCTACAACCACTGAACCGATTAGGGTGAAATTCAACACTGAGTATTTGGGCATTTTTCTCGATTTAATGACCCCAAGATCGTCCTCTTCCATCAGCTTTTGACCTTGTTCTCATGGTCACGGTCAAGTGCACGGACTTTGCTCATGAGGACATCTGTCATATCCATGCATACCCGACCCCGACTCGACTTCCGGACCTCCTCCTTCTCCACCTCCGGAGTCCTACCCTACTGCCGCCCGTTCCGATACTCACCTT